AGGAGGAGGGGGAGGAGGAAGGCTTCCTGGTCCTCGATCCCCAGTCCTGGTCCTGGCCGAGGGTCGGCGCGCTCGCGGCCCGCCCCTCTTGGAGCGGGCGGCAGGTGCTCCAGAACAGGGGCGCGGTCTGGGAGGACCCCGCCCCCCCCCAGCCGTGGGCGGCCGGCCTGGGTCAGAGGAGGGCCGGTGTTCGGAGGAGTATACGTAAGGGTACCCATACCCAGACCCCCTCGGGGAATGGCAAAATCACGACGGGTGGTTTTTCCATATCTTCGGCCTCGGGGGGCCCTTACCGGGCTTCGTGGCCGTCAAACAACGACGCAGGATGAAACATCGGTCCAGGGGAATGGGTCGAGACCCTTGTGGGTCGACGTTCTGAAACAATCATGACGTCGGGGGTCTGGGTACCGCTACCCTTCCCTCGTTTTCCCTTTCTTGGGCCTCCTGGGAGGCCCTCGTCGTCACCGCTGGATTCGCTTCGAAATCCTGGTCAGAACACACCCTGGGAGAGGTCCGGGGAGCAGCGGTATCCGTACCTGTTGGGCTTCCCCAGGCGTCGGGGCTCAAGAGACGGAGGTCAATGCACAAATGGGGGTCGGCCGGAGCGCGGGATCGTGCAGGATCCCGCAGAGCCAGGAGCGCATTGACCTGGGCTCGGGCGCAGGGTCCTGCAGGATCCTGCAGGATCCTGCGAGGCCTGGCTGATCCAGGTTTGGATCGACCCGGGTCAGTAGATCCCCGACAGTGGAGAGACAACGGTAGTTGGCCTTCGGGAGGCCCCCTCGTCGCCACGGGTGGACGCAGCTCTGAACGCTGGTGCGTTTGGACCCCGGGAGGGTTCCAGGGCTCGATTTTGAGGCTGCCGTTGTCTCGAGCCTCCCTCCTTCGACTGGGGGGAGGGAGGTGTGGCGTGGGTCGGGGGGGGCCGGTGGGAGAAGGGCAGAGAGAAGGAGAGGGAGGCGGAGTGGGCAGAGGGAGAAAAGCGGCGGGAGGGGGAGTGCCGAGGGAGGAGATGGGGCTTGATTGGTTTTTTGATTTGCGTTCCGGTACAATGCACCTCGTCTTCAGTCGTGACTGCATCTCGATGGTCGGTTCAGTTTGCATGCTGATTCACCCTGCCGATGCGCATTCCGACTGCATTTGACTTCGGATTTCGATGTGCATTGCAGTTAGCCGTTTATTTGCCGACTGTATTTTGAAGTGTTACACCCCTCAAAACGTCTCGTGGCCCCTTAGAGGAAGCTCTACCGAAGGCCCCATTGGCAGGGTTCGCATGGCGCCACCGCACCCATTTGGGTACTACCCTTGTTCGTTTCGCGGCCCCATAGTGAGCCCCACCGAATGCCCCATCGGCAGGGTTCGCATGTCGCCACCGCGCCCACTTTGGCACACCCCACACACATGATTTTGGCCTCTTGGGGCTCTCTTGGAAAGGGTCGGGGCTCTCTTGGGACGTCTTGGAAGCTTCTTGGGCCGTCTTGAGGCCGTGTTGGGCGTCTTGGGCCGATCGTTCGGTGATTCGGAACCCTCTTGGATCGTCTTGGATTCTTGTTGGGGCTCTCTTGGAGCGCTCTGGGGAGCGTGGAAGGCCGCACCCAGGAGGAAAACCATCTCTGACCTGAGTTTGCCGGGAGTGTCCCGGGACCTTGCCGGGGTACTTTTCGCCCAGGGCCCCCCAGGGGCCGCCCCGCGCGCGCGCGAACTAGAAATATTGTTAAGTAGTTACCAGAGATCTTAGCACGCTTCTGGCCCGTTGGGCTGGCGAATTTGTGTGTCCCAGGGCCCCTTCACATGCGCGGCTCAAAACAGACGCCCCCCCATTCCATCCCTCCGCCCTCCTCCCTCCTTCTGCATTCAGGCGATCGGGAACATGGATCAATGGGGGCGTGTGGATTAGCGACGGGCCCCGCTTCCATGGGAAATCTCGCGGAGATTCCGCCGCCGAACGGGGCGGCACCGGCCGCATTTTGGGGATTGCACCTCCCCATATCCATGGATTTGGCGACCGCGCGCCAAACCCATGGATCGCTAATCCATGTATCCGCGCCACCGATTTTCAGCCACGCGCAGAGGGGGGTGGGGGGAGGGGGGAGGACTTCCGAGAAGCACCCCTGCTTCTTAGAAGGCGCAGGCCTTATCTATAGCTGTGAGGCCGGCGCCTCCTAGGAAGCAGCCTCTTTCTAAAAGCCCTCCCCTCTCCCTCCACCCCCCTCGTGCTCTCTGCCAACATGCGCGCCACCGATGCACTGCCCTCCCCCGCCCTGCTGGCGCTGTTCCCCTGCGCTGCGGCCCGAGGAGTGCGAGAACCGGCGGATACGGACAGCGCAGCTGGGCAACGGCAGCGCCGCGGTGCCCAGGCGAGATGGGGGGCGAAGGGAGGGGGAGGGACAGCGGGGCCGCGATGGAGCACGGGGGGAGGAAGAGGGCCGAGAAGAGGGAGCAAGGAGGAGGATCGGGAGGATGTGGATGAGGATGAAGATGAGGATGAGAATGATGATGATGATGATGCTGATGCTGATGAGGATGATGAGGATGATGAGGATGAGGACGAGGACGGGGATGAGTATGAGGATGAGTATGAGGATGTATGGATGATGATGCTGATGATGCTGATGATGATGGCGATGATGATGGTGATGCTGATGCTGATGATGCTGCTGCTGCTGATGATGATGATGATGATGATGGCGGCGGTGGTAGCGGTGATGCTGGTGATGTTGATGTTATTGCTGCTGCTGATGATGATGAGTATTCTTATTATGATGCTGATGCGGATGCGGATGCTGATGCTGATGCTGATGCTGATGCTGATGCTGATGATGATGATGATGATGATGATGATGATGATGATGATGATGATGATGCTGATGATGTTGATGATGCTGATGATGATGATGACAACGTGCTGCTGCTGAGGAGGAGGAGGAGGAGGACGAGGAGGAGACGCGGGAGATGAGGAGGAACGGTATGGGGAACAACGATGATGATGGGAGGTGACAGACGAGAGGAAGGGGAGGTTGGAGGCGAGAAATGTGATCGAGGAGGAGGAGGATGAGGAGGAGGAGGAGGAGGAGGAGGAGGAGGAGGAGGAGGAGGGAGCGACGATGCGGCGAGGAGGGCGCGGAGGGGGAGGAGGACGACGACGAGGAGGGCGGACCAGGAGCTGAACGGAGGACGAGGAGGCTGCGATGAGGGGGCGACGAGGAAGCATAGGATGAGGAGCAGGATGGAGGAAGAGGAGGCCACGGTGAGGCGGGCGGGAGGGGTCTAGGGAAGAACGGGGGAAGGGGGAGGAGGAGTAGGGACTGGGGGAGGCAGAGGGCGGAGGATGCGCAGGGAGGCGGGGGCGTACGCGGAGGGGAGAGGGGGAGAGGGGATGGGATTATGTGGTTTTTCTTTTCTGTTGCTTTGGGCTTCTCGGGTGCGGGGCGCAACTACTAAGCTCGAAGAAGAAAAAACACATGGACATAATCTTTTGGAGCTCCGCGCGGAGTTCTTGGATCCGCGCCTGGGCCCCTGGGCGGCGCCTCTGGCGCCGCCCCTGGATTGCTCCGCGCGCCAGGGAGGGGGGTCTGGCGCGGATCCAAGAAATCCGCGCGGAGCGCTAACAGTTTATGTTCATGTGTTTTTTTCTTCTATTTTCGGCATGGGTGCGGGGCGCAACTATTAAACTGCCGATGTGAGCACAATGGCACAGGCCCACAGCTGTCCTGGCAGCGATCCCAGCACCTCCGCGGAGGCAGAGGGGGAGGGGGAGGGGGAAGGATCCCGAGATTCGACGTTGCGCGAGAGAAATGCAGCATCGCGAGAACCAGCACGACCTCAGCTCTAGACCGCAGCCGGATCGATATCTGAGGGTCCGGGGAACAGGGACCTGAAACTGGGCGAAAGCGCCCGGTGTGAAAGATAGCGACGTCCAGATTTCAGGGGAGGTATGGGGTGAAAGGTGGACGGGGTAGGAGGCCTGGAAGTGGGCACCAACACCAACACCCAGGTCCGATTCAACTGGGGGAAACTGATCCCAGATTCTGGCGCTGGTGGTCCTGTTTTGGCCACCTTGGAAGCCTGAAGATTACCACCACCATCGCCGAGCTCGGGATCGTCTTCCCTCGGGATGGAAGCACCCCGCCGACAATGGTGTTGGTGTCAACCTCCAGGCCTCCGACTGGGGGAGAAGAGGGAGGAGGAGAAGGAGGAGGAGGAGGAGGAGGAGGCGGAGGAGGAGGAGGAGGAGGAGGAGGAGGTGGAGGAGGAGGAGAGGGGAGGAGGAGGAGGAGGAACACGGGGAAGGAGGACAGGGGGGAGGAGGAGGGGGAGGAGGATGAGGAGGAGGAGGAGGAGGAGGAGGAGGAAGAAGAAGACGGGGAAGGAGGAGGCGGAGGAGGAGGGGAGGAGGAGGAGGAGGAGGAAGAGGAGGAGGAGAGGGAGAGGAGGGGAGGAGGAGCAGGAGCAGGAGGAGGAGGAGGGAGGAGGAGGATGAGGAGGGGAGGAGGAAGACGGGGAAGGAGGGGGAGGAGGAGGAGGGGGTGGGGGAGGGGAGGAGGTGAGGAGGAGGAGGAGGAGGAGGAGGAGGAGGAGGAGGGGAGGAGGAGGAGGAGGAGGAGGAGGAGGGCGCTGGCCGGCGCACGCGCAGGTTCTCCGAGCGCCTGCCCCACGCCCTCGGGGCGCGCCTCGCGCGGGCGGCCGCCGCCGCCTCGCCGAGCGCCGCGGCGGCGCCGAGCGCCGCGCCGAGTGCCGCGCCGAGCGCCGCGCCGGCCTCAGGGGCATCGGCCTGGGGCCTCGCGGGACGGCTCTGTTCCGATGCCTCCGACTCGACCCGGTTCGATCCGGTTCCGCCGGCTGCCGATTCCGATTAACTCGGTTCGGCTCGGGGTGCCGATGCGGGCCCCGAGTCCTCCACGGTCGCATGCCAGCCTGCCGGTTTCCGCCGGTTCGACTTCTCCCGACTCGGCTGCCAATCTCCGCCGATCCGATGCATTTCGATCGCCGATCCGACTTGTCGATGCTGTTCTGGGCTCTCCTCGCCACGGCTGGATCCGCAGCGAAGCGCGCGTCAGGGTGGACCCTGGGGAGGGGGGACCAATTCTGAGCGGAGGTGGACCGTGTGGGAGAGTCGGAGATGTATGCCTTCCTTCGCCCCCATCTTTCGAAGAAAACAACACATAAACATACACTTTTGGCGCTCCGCGCGGATTTCTTGGATCCGCGCTGGGCCCCCCTGGCGGCGCCTCTGGCGCCGCCCCTGGCGCGCTCCGCGTGCCAGGGAGGGGGGTCCATCGCGGATAGTGATACATATGCAAACACATGTGCACATCCTCGTGTGTGAACTTGCGCGCGTATCTTTGTACGTATGGACATGCGCACATTCATGCCGATATCAATTGTCTGCATCGCACATACATCCCTCTTGGTTGGAAACATATATATGTGTATCTATAAACATACATGTATCCCTTATTCTTAATTCCACATCGATGCCGATCTCGTTCCCTCGCTTTCGCCTTTTTGGGCCTCCTGGGGGTCCCTCTTCGCCACGGCTGTGATTCGTGTGCTAATCCTGGTCAGGCACCTCCCAGGAGGAAGGTGTGTGGCAACAGCGGTGGCACTGACAGGGCAGCGATACTGGTGGTGATGGTGGTCTGGATGGTTGAGGTGGTTTTGGTGCCCGTAGTGCTGATGGCGTGCCAGAGCTGGTGCTGGTAGTGTGGTAGTGCTGTGCTGGTAGTGTGCGTGCACGATCGCAGTACTTCGTGTGACTGATAGCGTGCCAGTTCTGGTGCTAGTGTTTGTTCGGGGGCTATAGTGCTACTGATGGTATTTGCACGTAGTGGTTGTGGTAGTTGAAGTGGTCGTGTGAATGGTCCAATCGCGATTGTTAGGTCGACTCTGCAAAGTCCTAGCGGCCTTCCCATCCCATTCCCACGCCTGCGTCGTATGCAAGAGGTTTCGTAGAGGCCTTTAGGGGTCTCTGGAGACCTCTAGGGGTTCTGTTGGAAGCCTCTTTGGGGCCTTTCCTCGGCCTCATGGAGGTCTCCTGAGGCCTCTTACCCTCTTGGGCTCCTCTTGGAGCCAGGCCTCTCAGGCCTTCTGGGGGCCTCGGGCTCTGTACTAAGGCGATATTGGGTGCCTCACGGGTCGTCACATGGACGATGACAAGATCGAAAGGCAGGTAGGCCTCGTCCGGATTTCTTGGATCGGCGCTGGATCCCCGGCGCCGCCCCTGGCGCGCTCCGCGTACCAGGGAGGGGGGCCCATGGCCGATCCAGGGAAAGCAGCGCGGCGCTCCCAAAAATTGTCGTTCATGCCGTTGATTCTTCCTCGAGCCGGGCCCAGTCGCCCCCGGCTGTGCGGCAGGTGGCCGCAGGGCCAGTGCGTCCACTCTGCGAGTGTCAGCTCGCCCCCTCCGGCAGCGGTTAGAGCAGCGGCCTCTTGCGAAGACAGGTCCAGATCGTCAGCTGGATCACGCACACATTGTCCATGTAGAGGATCGCAATTGCGTTGAGGAGCCAAGGGGGCCAGCCCAGCTTCGCGAAGAAACGCAGGAAGAACGCGTGCTCGATGGAGGGGAACGCGGCCGCAAAGTCGTAGAAGAGAGCCACCCCGGCTTCTCCGCGCGCCCCCTCTTGGACCATGGCCTCGTCGATGTCCAGGACATTAGCGAGCATGGACCGGCCCGGTAAGAAGCCCCGCTGGTCCTCGACGATCTTCCCATCCACCATCGGCTCCAGCACTAGACGCACTGCACTTGCGAAGAGGCGGTTGTCACAATTAGTGACGTTGAGTGGCCGCGCGCCGCTGGCAGCGAAGGCGGGGACTCCATGCTCGGTGGCGCCCGCGGCTTTTTTCGGGAGGAAGAAAAGCAAGCTCTCGTTGAAGTCTGCATAATGCTCTCGAAGCGCCTGGGGGCCATCATCCCTTACCAGGTCCTGGAAGGCCGCGTAAAGCACATCGACAGCTGAACTTCCCAAAGCCCGCCACGCCCCGTAGGGGATCCCATCGGGCCCCGGAGCCGAGTTGTTGGTCATCTTCAACGCCCGGGCGATGTGCTTCCGGCGCAGCCGCACGTGCCCGAAGTCATCGTGGCGAGGGCCATGCGCAGAACGGTGGTCGGCATCTTCCTGGAGCCAAGTTTCCAAGCGCGCTTCGTCAACCCCCCTAGCCTTGAACACGCCCGCCCAATGGCGGCCGAGCTCGGCCGCCATATCGCAACCATTCGTGAGGAACTGACCGTTTCTCCCCACCACGGCGCCGATCGAAGCAGTACGACCTGGAGCCAATTTGAAGAGGAGTCGGGAACCTCGCTGTCGGCGGCGCCGGGCCGCCAGCTGGTCTCCCCGCTGGGCCTCTTCCTGGGCCTGCTGAAGCTGCTCCATGGCGACATCCCTGGCGAGTTCAGCGGCGTGGTCTTTCAACGACCTCAGGCGGCGAGGTAAGTTTCCTTGCAAATCGTAGGGGTTGTCGACCATCTGGCCGATTGTTGGGTAACGCTGAAGACATTGAGAAATTGCCCCGAGGTTTCCTTGCTCGATGGCCCGCAAACACCGCATGACCACCCCCAATTTGTCGGCGAAGCTGTCCGTCTTGGCGTACTCACCCACATGTGCCCCGAAGTTGTCCGACACCTCCCGCACAGCCTGCTTCAAAAGCCGAAGACGTAGAATCGCAGGGGCGTCAGGCTGTTGTCGGAGAAGTTCCTGGTAGGCCAGCTGCACGCGACGAGGGAAATCAGGATGGGAGAAAGTTGACTGCGAAATAGGTCGCTGAGAATCGTCCCAACGTTGAGGCAGACGGCGAGCAGCAAGAACAGGGCGATGATCAGACAACGAAGGACACCATTCCAGGGCGGTGACCTGTAACTCCCGGTCGATCTGTTCCGCAACGTGTTGATTGAAGTACAGCCGGTCCAATCGTGAAGAAGCGCTCGAAGACTGGTGGGTCATCTCCGGCTGAAAAAGCTCGGATAAGCCGAGCGGTCGACAGAGGGGGTTCGCTATCCTGGATTCGAGATCAGCCGGGGTATCAGACAAGGCTGTCCCCTGTCACCGCTGCTCTTCGCGGTGGCTACAGATCTGCTCCTACGCCGGGCGCGTCGATCGATTGCTGCCTCCTGCTCCCGGGCCTGGGCTGACGACTTGGCCATGGTGCTGCGGGAGGGCATGACGAGCCTGAACCAGTTGCAGTCGTTCTTCCTGGACTTCGAGGCGGTCTCCGGTCTGGCCCTCAACATCGAGAAAACCGTTCTGGTACCTTTGTTTCGCTGCGAACACGATGCTCTGCGGGTTCGAGTTGCTGCGTTGGCCCCGTGCTGGGCTGGCATTCAGATTGCGAGTTCGGCCAAGTACCTCGGCTTCTTCGTCGGCCCCGGCCGCGAGGAGAAATCTTGGGACGCCCCCTTGGCCAAGTACCTGGGCAGGGCGAGGCTCTGGGGGCGGCTGGGTTTGGGCCTCGCTCTCACCCTGCAGGCGTACCAGGTCTACATCGCGTCGGTCCTTCTCTTCGTGGGGCAGCTGGAGGAGCTCCCGTCGCGGTGGCCGCAGGTGGAGCTCCAGGCCTGCCAGGCCCTCCTTCCGGGCCCCCGCGGGTGGATGTCGCCGAACTGCTTAAAAGATCTGCGGGGCCTGCACATGCCGACGGCGCTGCTCGACGTCGCCAGCACGACGCAGGCGGCCAAGCTGAGGGTGGTGACGTTTGAGAACGCTCGTCACGGAGGTCTTCGTGTGGCGGGGCGAGTGGCCGCACTACGCGCCCAGATGCCCGACGGGGTATCCGATGCACTCTCGATCGGGCACCTGGGCTGGCAGCAACAGTGGGCGCGACGGAGCTTTCTGGAGAATTTGGGCACAGCCGCCGCCGTCTTGGAGCGCCGAAACGGCACCGTGTCGGAAGCAGCGAGGGTCCTGCCAAAGAGGGCTGGGTGGCAAGGCCGGATTGCCCGGCTGCTCCGGGCAAGTCCCGTGCAGGCGGGCTTCATCCATATCTCAAGGAGGCTCCAGAGGTGGCCACTCCAGACCCTCCCTGGCCACAGAGGTGAGCGAGCCATGAGGGTCTTCAGAGTTTTGGGCAAGAAGGCTGCCCCGAAAGTCGGCGCAGCATACTTACGCACCATCTGCAACGGGTGGTGCACACGGCGCAGGTTTCAGACGAATGGTTTTTGCACGTTCGGGTGCGGCCGCTACGAGGATAGCATCGAACATTTTGCTCGTTGCACGGCTGTGCGGCAACTCTGCCGCGCGCACCTTGCTTGTCTGCCGCCTCCAGTGGAAGGGGCGCTTGATTTTTCCTTTGCATGCGATCCAGCACAGAGTTTGTTTCTGAGGGGTGGAGCTCTTCGGTCCTCCAGCAGTGTCTCTGCCTTTACTCCTTGTACCGCCTTCACAATGGCATTCGGCACGGGCATTTCGAGCCTTCAGAGTATCGAGGGGCCTTCGCGCAGTTTCTTCGGGATGGGGCCCGTTGAACTGCCCGTTTCCTCTGTTTTTCTGCCCTTTCCCTTCCTCTTCCTCCTCCTCCCCCTCCTCCTGCCTGTTCCCCGCCTCTGCCCGGAGGGAGGCCGGGACCTCCCGGGGCTCCCAAGTGGCCCCCTGCGCTCGAGGGAGGTAAAACGTCGCTGCATGGACTGTCGGAGGTTTGCTTGGTTTTCTTGGGTCGGCGGTGGTCCCCCTTGGCGGCGCCTCCTGCGCCGCCCCTGGCGCGCTCCGCGCGCCAGGGGGGGGGGCCAGCGCCGATCCGGGTAATCCGCGCGGACCTCCGAAAGTGTATGTTTTGGTTGTTTTTGCTTCCTCGGTGCGGGGGCCTCTTCGGCTGTCCTGGGGGCCGGCGGGTTCTCTGCACGGAGGCTAAGCGACGGCAGCGTTGGTATCGACGCTCGTCGTGGTCGGCCTCCCATCAGTTTGAGGATCCCATGCGTGGCATCCCTTTTATATATGATGACAATTCCTATCGTGCCTCGCTGTTCCGGCACTGGCTCGCCGGCGACCGCCGCCCCGCGAGAACACACAGTACGTGTGGATACGTATTGATTGTGAAAGTGTATATTTTCTTCTCCTCCTTTCCTCCCTTCCTTCCCTCCTTCCCCCCTTCGCTCTTCCGTCCCAGGTTCGGCGAGAGAGCTGTAGGATAAGCCACAGCCGCCGCCTGATTTCGCTCCAGAGGCTGCCGCGCACGTTGAGAGTGCTCCCCGAGCCAGGGGCCATTGCACACTTTCGTGCCTCGATTCTGGTCGTTCCGGCCTATCCTCGTTTTGGCCTCCTCCTCCTCCTCCTCCTCCTCCTCGCCTCCTCCCCTTTTTGAGCGGCAGATTCGGGGGATGCCAGCCCGTCGATTTTGGTTCCCCTGCGGGCCGTTTGTTGTCCCAGCCGCGTGGCCGATAGCGTCGCAGCAAGGGCTGGCGTGGAGCGGCAGTGGGCTCAAAATTGTACCGCGTCCGCCTGGTAGGAAAAAAAAAAAAGACAGGTCCAGATCGTCCAGATCGAACATCCGAGTGGAACAGTCGATCCGCCCGCAGCCACCTGTCGTGCGTTCTGAGCATGCGACTGTGTCTGGCCCTAGTAAAACGACGCGAAGATCGGGACAAAATCGGATCGGGATAACTCGAAATCTCTGAGAATCGGCGGGTTTGGAGGATGTATTGGGCGCCGCGGCCGCTCCAGAGCGTTCCGGAACGCTCTGAGAACCTTCCGGAACGCTCTGGAGCGATTTATCCCGATCCTAGCCTTGTTTTACCTAGTCCAGTATGCTCCAGTCGGACCGAGGTATAAGATCGAAGTCGGTTCGGAGAGGGCACCCTCATGTTCGTCGTGCTTGCTGGTGCTCTTGGGCATCCTGGGGGAGGGTACCCACGACAGTACTTCAGTTTTGGCTGGTGGAGGACCTCATGCTCTTGAGTGATGTCCTTCTGCCTTAGCTTCGACAGGATGATCTGACCTCATCGTCTTTGTCCTCCTTCTCACCACGCAGTTGCGTGGCCGGCGCGTGGTCAGCTTTACGGTTGGCATCAGTTGTTGAGGTACTAGTCTCCAGGGTGTTCAATCCAACCCGCCTCCGTCTCCCAGGACCTTTCCCGGCGCGCTTCCAGGCGAGGCTGCCGTCGCGCACCCCGGCGCGGCGACGAGCCCCCCCCACAGGGGGCCCGACGTCAATGGAGGAATAACCACCTGGACCCTTAGACTGTGCGTTTGCTGAGCAGTCTTGGGCTTTGGCCAACAGCCTTGCCCTGCTCATACCTTCCTGAGGCACGCTTGGTGAAGGGTTCGATTCTCGGTGTTCTTACCATGAGGGTGGTTTTCTGACCTCTGCGGAAAGCGAGAGAGGCATCAACAGGATCTTGGTCTCTCATACTTGAAAGGGGCCCTGGGACACACAAATGCATGCACACAGATGAACGGATTCCCCACATTTTCCCATATCTTCTGGGTTTTTGTCTTCCCCCCCACTTCCCATATTTTCCAATAGTTTCCTGGGAATGGGCGATTCATTGTGCCTGTGTGTTTCAGGAGGAAAAGAAACACACAGACACAATTAATCCTCGATTATCCAGAAAATATGGGGAAATATGGGAAGTGGTGGGGAAGACAAAAACCCAGAAAATATAGGAACATGTGGGGAATCTTTTTATTTGTGTGTATTTTTTTGTGCGTCCTGGGGCCCCTTCAGTGTTTCTTTCCCTCCTGAGTGCTGGAGCCCCCAGGCAGCTGCACGAGCGCCACTTCTCGGCCCGCCGTGCGGAGCTCTCGGCTCTGCGCCGGGGGCCCCCCTCTGCGGCGCCCCCGGCGCCGAGCTCGGCGCGCTCCGCGCGCCAGGGAGGGGCTCCAGAGCAGATGACAATTTCTGCAGCCCTTTGGTCTTCCACAAATGGGGTCGGAGTACACCCTAGGCGATGCTTAAGAAAACCTAAGTTTTCGGCCAGAGTCTCGGCTATTCTTACTGTTTCAATGTAAGTCCTAAGGTTTAAATACAAGTCCTGGGCTTTTATTCAAAACCTGAGACTATGAATTTCTTAACCCATGATTTCTAAAGCATTTCGCAGGGTGTAGATGGGGGGGCGGGTGATCCCGCCGCGTCGCCGAGACATCGGCGGTGGCGCTCGATGCGAAGCCCGAGTTTCTCCAAGCCGAAGGCGCCGATGCATCACCGATGTCGCCGGTGCCTCGCCGATGCAGCGGCGACGCATCGGCGATGCTGCGCGATCTTCCGACCCCGTGTATTCTGACCCCTATCCGGGGGGCTTGGTAGATTTTCTTGTTGTTGCCCCTCCTGCCTTCTCTGGAAGAGGCGTGGCAGTTCACGTTCAGGAGGGGGAAGAAAACACACAGACTCAACGAATCGTTGACTCCCAGGCGAATATGGGAACATATAGGAAGTGGGGGAAAGACGAAAACACCAACAATATAGGAAGATATGGGGAATCCGTGGAGTTGTGTGTATTTATGTGTGTCTTTGAGCCCCTTTGCACGTCAAAATCTGCCATTCGCACTGAGGTGCCCAGTCTGGCGGCCTCCGATGTCGAGGACGAGGTCCAGTGGGAGGCGGCCTGCCTTGTAAAGCCTCCTTCCCGTCCACCCGTCCAGCCTTTCTCCGCCCCCCCGCCACTCTTCGTCCTCCCCCTAACCCGTCGCCTCCGCCGCCTCGGATCCTCCCCGCGTCCCTGCCCCCCTTCGCTCCTGCTCCAGCTGCTGCTCTGGCTCCCTGCCCCCTCCCGCACTCTGAAGACGAGTGTGCGGCCGTTTTCTTTAGACGGTTGTCCTTTTCGATCTCCGCCTGCCACTCCTGGTCGGTTCGTCATTCTCCCCCTCCCTCCTCCGCCTCCTCCTCCGCTTCCTCCTTCCCGTCCACTTCCCTCCCCCCTCTGCCTCCCTCCTCAGGCAGTCCCCCCCCGCCCTCTGCCTCTCTTTGTTCCGAGCTTCCCCCACCCTCCTGTCCCTCCACATCCTCATCTTTCCCTGGCTGCGGCGATGACGACCTCTCCGACGACGACGCGGACGCCGCCGCCGACGACGACAGAAGGAATTAGACAAAGACCTCGATGGCGACCACGTCGACGCCGACGATGACGACGAGGATGACGACGACGCCGACGCCGACGCCGACGCCGACGACAGAAGGGATTAGACAAAGACCTCGATGACGACCACGCCGACGCCGACGACGACGACGAGGATGACGACGACGACGACGACGCCGCCGCCGACGACGCCGCCGCCGCCGCCGACGCCGACGCCGACGCCGACGCCGACGCCGACGACGCCGCCGCCGACGACGCCGCCGCCGCCGCCGACGGCGACGACGACGACGGCTGCGGCAGAGGCGCCGCCGCCGCCGCCGCCGGCCGCGGCCGCGGCGGCGCCCTGCCGCGGCCCGCGAGGCCACCTGCACGGTGACCAGGCCGGCGACAGGCTGGGAGGGCTGGTCGGGTCGCGCCGGCCTGGGCGACTGGAGCCCGGCGCGCGCGCCCCCGCCGCCGCCGCCGCCGCGCGGCTATCTAGAATACAAGGAACAGGCTGGAGGAGGAGGAGGAAGGAGGAGGAGGAGGAGGAGGAGGAGGAGGAGGAGGAGGAGGAGGAGGAGGAGGTAGGAGGAGGAGGAGGAGGAGGAGGAGGAGGAGGAGGAGGAGGAGGAGGGAGGGAGGGAGGAGGGAGGAGGGAGGAGGGAGGAGGGAGGAGGAGGAGGAGGAGGAGGAGGAGGAGGAGGAGGAGGAGGAGGAGGAGGAGGGAGGTGGAGGAGGAGGAGGGAGGAGGAGGAGGAGAGGGGAGGAGGAGAGGAGGGAGGAGGAGGAGGAGGAGGAGGAGGAGGAGGAGGAGGAGGAGGAGGAGGAGGAGGAGGAGGAGGAGGAGGAGGAGGAGGAGGAGGAGGAGGAGGAGGAGAAGGTGCATGGGGAGGAGGAGGATGAGGAGAAGGAGGAGGAGGTGGAGGTGGAGGCGGGGAGGAGGAAGGGGAGGAGTTTGAGGAGGAGGGGGGTGGGAGGAGGGGTTGATGTCGAGGCCGCCGCTCGGGCCGAGACGTGCTCGCGAGTCGCGACGGCCCTCGGCGGGGCTCGTTTGGGCTCCCTGTGCCGTCTCACCGATCCCTATCCTGTAGTCGGGCGTGTCCCTCTACAAGAGGCATAACCAAAAGCAGTCCCTCTTCAAGAGTCTTGGGACGATGTGTTTTCACTGTTTTTGCCCATTTCGGTTTTTTTTTTTCTGAGTGTTTCTTAATTTTTCGCCCAGAATCCCCCTGCAGGGGGACACGCCCGACCTAACCCTATCCCCATCCCCATCCACATCTCGAGCCCCACCGTCTCACCACCGCAGTCGGGGATCTGCCCCTCGGAACCCGAAGAGAGCAGCCTATACTGTAGTGGCCTCCAGCCAGTGCCGCCGATTCGGGGTGCTACCGACTCTGCATGCAACGGATGACCTTTTATATTCAAAAGTAGAGCGCTCGCTCGAGACATCCTCATGAGATAGAGATGTTGAACTCGCTTGGGCAACCTTCGGACATTCGGGTGCGACGATCTCGCGTGAACAGCCAAACTCCTGGGACGTCCCCTCCCACCTTCTGGGCCTGATTGGCGTCAGCCATCGCGTCAGGCCCCGCCCCCCCCGACTCCCCCGTCCCGGGCGTGAATGGCGTCAGCCATGGCGTCGGCCCTCCTCCCCCCCTCTCCTCTCCGTGCCTGAATGGCGTCAGCCATGGCGTCAGCCCCCCTCCCCCCCCCCCCCCCAGATCCCCTCCCGGGCCTGAATGGCGTCGGCCATGGCGTTCCCCCCTTCCGCCCCCCTCCTCCTTCGGGCCTGAATGGCGTCAGCCATGGTCAGCCCCCCCCCTCCCCCCCCCCCCGCCCCACCGTCTCACCACCTCTGTTGGGGATCTGCCCCTCGAAACCCGGAGAGAGCAGCCTATATATCCCCATCCAGGGGGGTAACTCGGCCAGTGGGATCCAGCCCACGCTGGTGGGCATGGAGATCGGTGAAACGATGCTCATCCCCTCCAATTCCATTCGATCCGATCTCGAGGGCTCCCGATTCCGATTCGGTTCGACTTCGGATTCCGCTGTGGGCTCCGATGTCTCAAGAACGGCCTACCGGTCTGCCGACTTCTGCCGATCTGACTTCGCCCGACTCGGCTGCCGATTTCCACAGATTTGGTTAATTTCGATCGCCGATCCGACCTGTCGATTCGACTCTGGGCTCGCCTGCGAACCCGGCGGGGCCGCAAGGTCGACGACCGCGTTGCAGCTTCGAGGGTCGGCAGCTCTCTCTCCAGCAGCCCTGCGCCTGTCTGGGCCTCCGCGGGGCTCCGCGTGGCCACGGTCGGGGGTTCCCACCGAAGCTCTGGCCGGGGCGCTCCCCAGGAGAGGTCCCTGTGAGGGTCGGCGTTTGATCCCTGGGCACGGGCGCCCAACGTCTTGTCGGACTGGGCTAGGACTCGGAGTTTGGTAGACCTCCTACCCTGACACGTCGATTAGTGAATTGGCCGTTTTCGGTTCGCGAGAGGGCTTCACGGCCGTTCTTTCTGCGGACCCAGGTCCGTCGGTTTCGGTCCCAGGCCGTTCTCACTAAAGAGTGGTTTGCTAAAGGGAGTTTTGTCCACCGCCGAAGGTGAGAAGTCCGTTCCAGAGCGTTCCGGAACGCTATTAGCGTTCCGGAACGCTCCGAGAAGGCCGCGGCGCCCGATGTAGCCTCCAGAGCCGCCGGATCTCAGAGACATGCTCGATTCGCCCTCCCCCGGTGTTATCCTCGTCTTGGCTTCGTGTTAACAAAATCAAGATCGGAGGTTCTGGGGGCCCTCGCTGGTCCCCAGTCGACTGCATGTGAGAGTGACCTTTCGCTGGAGTGACCTCAGATGCGGGCCCACTGGGGTCCCCCGATCGCCGAACGCGATGTGACAGTGGAGTCTTGCGCGCTTGTGCTTGGTCCCCCTGGCGTTCCCCATAAAGCCGCGCACCAAAGGTCACTCTTACCCAGGTCACTCTTGCGTGTAGTCGACCCAGGACCGTCGAACAACGACTCTTGGCATCGCTCGGACGTGTGCATTTTTTCTCGGCGAGAACCATCGGGCACCATCCTGGACCATCGAGCAAAAAATAACACGCACAAAACCGACAATTGCACGGGAAATGGACGTCCGAGCGACGGCAAGCTCTGGACGAAACACCTGCCTCGGTCGGGACTTCTGGGGGATCCGTTCCGAAACAATCAGTGCATCGCATTTGTGGTTCTGTGGCCGCCGTTCGGTCGGCCCCAGGGCCGGGGTAAGTCGTTCCCGAGCGTTCCAGGATCTGCTCGGTGCGCTCCGGCGGGCTCTGGAGCGGCCGCGTCGCCGTGTGCATCCTCTCGAACCGCCAGATCTCAGAGATCCCACAATTCTTGTCTGATGTGGTCCCAGTCCTGGCTTCGTCGTCGTCGTCGTCGTCGTCGTCGTCGTCGTTGTACAGACGTCGACGTCGTGATCGTCGTCGTCAGCCAAGGTTCTCCCTAACTGTTCGGTCCGGGTGGTCCGCGCCCGGACCCCGAGTTCAGCAGAGGTCGTCCCAGGATCGTCGTCGTCGTCGGCGTCGGCGTCGACGTCGTCGTCGGCGTCGGCGTCGGCAACGGCGTCGGCGTCGTTGTCGTCATCGTCGTCGCCGTCGTCGCCGACGTCGCCGACGTCCTCCTCGTCCTTGTCTTCTTCCTCCTCCTCCTCCTCCTCCTCCTCCTCCTCCTCCTCCTCCTCCTCCTCCTCCCCTTCCCCCTTCTCCCCCCATCCTTTCCCCAGCCTTGCCCAGACTTCGTGCCATCGCTGCGTCAGCGGGCACTGAAGAGGACTCTCCGCGGCAGCCTTACAGGAACTTCAACAGGGGCTTGTGTGTGTGTGTGTGTGTGTGTGTGTGGGTGGGTGGGGCGGTACCAGCACTGGCGAGGAGCGCTGGCCGACAGCATGGCGCTGTGAGCCTTCTGCGGCGTTCCGTGGGCCGCCATCGAAAGAGCGCGGCGGCGGCGATGGTCCTCTCCAAGGTCGCGCATCTGCAGTAATCGCCAGCTAGCTTGCGGCCCATTGTCGCCCCTAGCACCTTTCGCCACTTGGTCCACCGGGCCTTGACTCAGCCCCTCAGGGAGCGGTTGGCGGGGAAGCTGGGCAGGCAGCAGTCTGCCATTGGGGCAGCAGGCACGGAGCTTCTGGCACACGCCGCGCGGGCGTTCAGCGGGGCCCTCGTCGTGGTTGCTTTGGGCTCCAAGAGCGCCTGCGGGTCAGTCTGCGCGGACTGCCTGCGCCAGCTGGATGAGCTAACGCCCAAGCTATTCCATGTCCACTGGGATGGCCGCGGCGGATGCCGCGAACAGAGCGCCACGTGACCGTACAAGAACCACCGCATCCAGAAGTTATGGGCGTTGTTTTACATCGTAAGGTGTCTCGGATGTTTCTCGTCGCTGTCGTTGTCGGCGAGTGCTTTCCCCTCGATGTGTTTGCGCGAGGCCGAGTGGCGATCATGCGCGGCATTGCCCGTTTGCCACTACGCACGCGTGCGCGGTTCAGGGGGGGTCGCACTAGTAGCAATGTGGTCGTTGCGGCATTGCAGCACTGTGTGTTTAGGCGGCGTGTAACGCGTTTTCCGCTTGCCGGCTGCACGTGTCTTGCGTGGGCGGATTGCCCCCCGCGCAGTGATGCTTCGTGCGGAGTGATTGCGCCGACATTGCGCGACGATGCGCTCGTTCATGCGGGCGCAACGCCTCTGCGCGACGACGCCTCCTGTAGCGTCTTACCTATCGCTAGGTTTTTTCCTTCTGGGCGCCCTGGGCTCCCGTCCTCCTTCCCCTCTTGGCGGCACGCCAATCCTTTGGAATGTCTTTCCGTTGCTCTCGCCCACCGCCGAGAAAGCCACACCACGCGACAGATCGTTGCCCATGCCCGTTCAGTGGCCGCAACACGGTTCACGCTCATCCGCGTCGTTTCGGGGCATGCTCTTTCGTTCATTTCGTCGCTGTCCCCCCGCCCTCCGCCCCCCGTTGTCACTCCTCCCCCTTGTCCACCTCATTGTCCTTCTCGGCCTCTTGCCTCGCATGGGGCTCCTCGTGTGGCACCCTGGACTTCGACACGCAGGAACCAGGACACCCGCGCCCGTTTGCCGACGTCGCTGTCCGCGTCCGCAGCATCCTGGCACGGGGCTGGACCTGAACGGTGTCTTTGGCGATCTCGGGGGCGCTTTGCGTTTCGGCCTCGTTTTGGGGTGCTTAGAAAGGCGGATTCGAGACGAAAGCGAGGGAAGACGAAAAACCGAAACGAGAACGGAGAACACCGTGTAGGTTCGGCGAAAACAGGACGAAAACGAGCGACAACGAGAACAAAACAGAGCGAACACGAAAACAAGGCGGAACACACCGTTTAGGTTCAGCGAAAACAGGGCGAAAACGAGGGACAACGAGAGCAAAACAGAACGAAAACGAAAACAAAGCGAAACACACCGCTTAGGGTCGGCCCCTTCCTGGGCACGCCGTGGGGGTGCCGAGGCGTCGGCGAAACCTGCGCGGGGCCGCGGCCGGAGGGCCGCGAGAGCGGGCGCCTGGGGGCGTGGTCGCGCGGCATGGCGCGGCCGCCCTCCGGGGCGCGGCTGCGGGCTCTGAGCCTGCTCGCGGTTGGATGGCACAGTCAATAGGGGGCCACATGCGAACCCTACCCCTACCACCCACGATTTCTGAGAGGGAGGGTGGGGTTCGCGTTGTTCGGGAGCTCCCGAGCGAAGTGAACCCCACCATACCCCTCAGAAATCGTGGGGGGTAGGGGTAGGGTTCGCATATAAGCCCCTAGTCAAGACGCTGAAGTAAGGAACAGTTTGGGTTCGGAAGGGCTCGATGTTCCTTAGGTTCCTCCAGTGCTGTTCCTCTTGCCCTCCTGGGCACGGAGGCGCTGACAGGGCCAAGAAGGGGCTTCGTTCCTCATCTAGCGTTCCTTCTGTCAGCGGCCCGACTGCGGCTCGAACCGAGAAACGGGCCCGAGCTCCGTGATTCGCCCCCTGGGCTCTGGTGGGGCGCCGGGAACAAGGATCGCAAGCTGGAACATATCCATTGCCAGTGGCGGGCTGTTTTTCAATCCCACGACTTTTTTGAAGGGTCGAGGACGACGCTGGGGTGGTGTGGTGTATACTTTTCCTCCGTTTTCCGAGGGACACCACGGAACATGTATACACCAGGATCTCGTATGCACCAGAATCCGCGTTCCTGTGCGAATTTCAGCGCAGGGTCGGGAAAAGCGTTGGTGTATAGAGTTCGTTTCCCTGAAGGAGCCGGAGAAGGACGAGCAGGATATGGGATGCCTTTCATGCTTCGTGGTGCTGTTTTGGCCTCGTGGGGCGCCCTCGTCACCCCGGTGAAAATCCTTTGGCAGTTTATTTTTTGGGGAGTGGGCGAGGATAGTTGCGAGGAGGGGGCGGAGGCGGAGGAGGGAGAGATGGGGGGAAATGGGGGAGGGGGAGGGGATTGTGAGCAGGGATTCTATAGTCTATGGCTTGAAGTCGTCTGGCGTGTGGTTTCTGGCGGCGTGTGGGGTTTCCTCCAGGGTCAGCGGCTTCGGGGATGATGGGTGATGAGAGTGAGAGAGTGTGTGTGTGTGTGAGTCCGTGTGTATTTTTGTACTACTGAGACGGACGATGAGGAGGCGACGACCGCATGCAAGAGGATGGTGAGGGGTATGAGCAAAGAACCTGGGATGCGCAGGATCATGCGGACGGGGACGAAAACGACGAGGACAACTTGTTGATGTTGCTTCTGATGCTGAAGCAGCTGTTGATGCTGAAGCGGCCTCTGCTGATGCTGAGGACGCTGCTGATGACGACGTAATGGATCCTGTCACTAGTCCGGCAGCCGATGATGAGGACAACGGTGCAATTTGTTCTGCTGATAATTGTCGCTGGTGGTAGGGACGACGGCCAGGACAAATTTCGAGCTCGCCCGCACTCCGATCCGTTTCGCTTCCGCAGGCCAGAGGTCTCGAGTTCACGACCTCGGCTACACTTTTCCCACGCTGGATCGCCAAGGCGCGCCCCTCGCTGCGGCCGCGGCAGCGCCTGCAGCAGGAGAGGACGGGAGATAGGAGGCGAAAGCGATGATGTCGATGACGACGACGATGATGATGATGCTGATGATGATGACGATGATGCTGATGATTGATGACGATGATGACGATGATGATGATGCTGATGCTGCTGATGCTGATGCTGATGATGCTGCTGATGCTGGCGATTATGGTGGTGCTCCTGTTGCTGCTGCGGATGATTCTGATGATGCTGCTGCTGCTCATGATGGTGAAGATGATGATGCTGCTGCTGGTGATGATGATGATGATAATGATGCTGTATCTGCTGCTGCTGATGATGATGATGCTGCTGACGATTATGAGGCTGTTGATGCTGATATGATGATGCTGCCGCTGATGATGATGATAGTTGCGGTGGTGATGCTGATGCTGCTGCTGATTATGTTGATGTTGATGTTGGATGTTGGATGTTGGATGTTGGATGTTGGATGTTGATGTTGATGATGATGATGATGATGATGATGATGATGATGATGATGATGATGATGATGATGATGATGATGATGATGATGATGATGATGATGATACTGATGCTGATGCTGCTGCTGATGATTTTGATGATGATGATGATGATGATGATGCTGACGATGATGAGGCTGCTGATGCTGCACATGCTGATGTTGATGCTTGTTATACTTATGCTGCTGCTGCTGCTGCTCATGCTGCTGATGCCGCTGAGGATGATGATGATGATGCTGATGATGATGATGATGATGATGACGATGAGGATGCTGATACTGACAATGACAACGACCACAACGACGACGACGACAACGATGATAATGCTGCTGATGATGATGATGCTGATGATGACGATGATCATGACGATAAGGATGATGACGACGATGATGATGATGATGATGATGATGATGATGATGATGATGATGATGATGGTGATCATGAAGATCATGATGCTGAGGATGATGCTGATGATGATGCTGATGATGATGATGATGACGATGCCGATGATGAGGCTGCTGCTGATGATGATGCTTTGGATGATGCTGATGGTGATGCTGATGATGATGACGACCATGCCGACTTTGCCTTTGCTGTTGATGACTCTGATGTTGATGATGACGATTCTGATGCTGCTGCTGATGATGATGATGCTGCTGATGCTGTTGATGATTCTGCTGATGCTGCTGATGCTGATGCTGATGCTAATGCAGATGAGGAGGGTGCTCACGATTATGAGGCTGCTGATGCTGAACATACTGAGGCTGATGAGTGTTATGACTGTGCTGCTGCTTATGCTGCTGATGCCGTTGATGATGCTGATGATGATGACACTGACACCGACCACACCGACGACGGCGACGACGATGATGATGGCGTTGATGACGGAGATTATGAGGATGATGCCGGTGATGCTGATGATGATGATGATGCTCATGACGATGATGATGATGTTGATGCTGATGATGATGATGATGATGATGATGATGACGATGCTGAGGATGTTGATGATGATGTTGATGCTGATGATGAGGATGATTGTGATGATGATGCTGATGCGGCTGCTGACGATGATGATTCTGGTGATGCTGATGATGATTATGATGCTGAACAGGAGGGGGATGGGGGAGGAGGATGGGCTCATTTGTTTTGGGTCCACGCTAGCTAACGTAGTAGACAGAGAGAGGCCACGCGGGATACACACATATACATATATATATATATGTATATATACACAAATATATAGCGATATAGATAAAGACATAATGAGAGAGAGAGAGAGAGAGAGAGATAGAGAGAGAGGGAGAGAGAGATAGGGGAGAGAGAGAGAGAGAGCGAGAGAGAGAGCGAGAGAAAGAAATAGAGAGAGAGAGAGAGCGAGATAAAGAGAGGGAGAGAGAGAGAGAGAGAGAGGGTGGGCGAGAGAGAGAGAGAGAGAGCCAGGTTTTGTTCAGGACGACTCCACTCCCCTGCAGATCAGACCGTGTCAGAGGGAAACACCAAGCGACTCAAACATGGTGGTGGTGATGCTGACAACGTTGAGGAGGAGGGGGAGGACGGAGAGGTGGAGGGGGGGAAGGGAGGAGGAAAGGTGAGGAATTGGCGGATTATTATAATGATGATGAGGAGGAGGAGGAGGAGAAGGAGGAGGAGGAGGAGGGCGAGCAGAAAAGGCCAGAACCCTTTTGGATGCTTCTTGAAATCCCCTTGGGGTTTCTTGGGGGGCTCTTCGCAGTCTCGGGTGTTTTTGGGGGCGTCTTGAGTGCCTCTGGGGAGCCTCTTGGGGCCTCTTGGGTATCTCTTGGGAGCCTCTCGGGGTCTTGTGGGGGCCTCTTGGGGCCGCCTAGGCACCCCTCGGGGCCGTCTTGTAGCACCCTTGGGAGCCTCGGGGGCCATCTTGGGGCCACCTTGGAGGGGATGATCAAAGGAGGGGCCGTAGTACATTAGGCCCCCCCCCTCAGGAGGCCACAATGTGGCCAAAACCTTTGTAACATCAATACTGTTGGTCTTCTCGCCGAGGCCTCTCTGGGCGTCTTGGGTGCCTCTGGGGGGCCTCTTGGGGCCTCTTGGGGATATCTTGGGAGCATCTTTGGCGCCGCTCGGGGATTCTTTTGGGGGCCTCCTGGGACCTCCTGGGCACCTCTCGGGGCCGTCTTGGTGCACCCTTAGGAGCCTCGGGGTCCAATTTAGAGCCGCCTTGGAGAAGATCAATAATAGGAGGGTTGCTCCCACATTAATGTCCCCCCCAGGAGGCCACAATGTGGCCGTAGCTTTGGTGAAATCAGTATTGGCTTCCTCGCCAAGTCCGTTTTAGACGCTCTAACCCCTGGCGAACCCCCCTCCAGACCCAGGGGGAGGAGTGATCAACCCTTCTCCGAAGGGGACTGGGGGCTGGAGGAAGAAACTCGCTAAACAACTCGCGCCCCAAAGGCTGGTGGGATTTGAAAGGGCGTCTTCTGTTAGCAGTTGAGGAGGTTGGGAGCGGTACTAAACACTCCCCCCCCAGAGTCATTGGCACTCTCAACCTTCTCCTCCGATCCCCTTCCTCCCCACTTGCGCGCCGGTAAACGACGACGATCGACGACCACGACGCTGACGACGACGCGCGACGCCGATGATGACGGTTACGGTTAAGACGACGACTTCGAGCACGTCGACGTCGACAACGCTGACAATGTTGACGATGACGTTGATAATGACGATGCTAACGAAGGCAATGGCAATGAGGATGACGAGGCTGACGACGACGCCACCGACACTCACGCCTGACAACGGTGGTGGCCGCGTTGATGAAGACGAAGCGTTTCCATACAACGGGCAAGGTTTACATGAAGTAGTCGCCTCGCCGACGATGACTAACAACGACGACGAAGACGACGACGACGACGACGACGGTGAGAACGACGCCGTCGTTGAACACGACGGATTCGACAACGGTGTTAACGTTGACGAAGTTGGCGATGACGACGCTGACGATGACCGCGACCACGCTAACGAGAACAAGCGAGACTGACGATGGCGACGACGCGTCACGACGTCGAGGACTATCCGTGTCCTACCAACGTCCGGTGTTTACATTGAATGCCCCGCCCGCCCGACCGCTGTACTGTTCCACCAGCCCGACCTGCCCATGAAGGTACCGCCCGCCCGACTCGCCCGTGAAGGTCCTGCTGGCCCGACCCGCCCGCCAGTGTCCTGCCCGCTGGACTGTTAACAACAAACGCCCGCCCGCCCTCTTTGATGTTCTGACCGCCTGGCCCGCCCGACCCCCCCGCGTCTCAGGTTCCGCTCACTCTAGTGTTGAGTCAAGCCTGTCCCTCTAGTCAGGGGACGTTTTTTGAGCATTTTCCGATCATTGTGGAGCATTTTTTTGGGTATTCTTTATTTTTCGTACAAAATCCCCCTGTAGCGGGACAGGCCCGACTTGTGTTTCCATTTTGTATAGTTGCCGTTCCTCTTCTTGCTGCGCTCTTCTGAAATCACTGTTGGGTGCTCTTCTTGCGCACTGCGGGTCCTTCAGAATGCCAGTCAGCATCGAGTGGTCCTGCGTAGAATCGCCACACGCATAGAAAGGGTTGGGTACGTCATAGGGTAAGTTCATTTTTCGTGCAGAATCCCCCCTGTAGGGGGACAGGCCCGACTCCGCTCCAGTGGTGGAGCGCCCGCCCGCCCGCCTCCGTGCCCCGCCGGCCCGCCCCGCTCGGCCGGGGCCCGCCCGCCCGCCGCAGCCCCGCCCGCACGGGGTGCTCCGAGGCTGCCGGGCCCGACCCCCGCCAGTGTCGACTGGACGTGCGAGGGACCCTTCGCCGGAGGGACCTTTGGCGCGGGCACAGAGCAAGAGCGGGGTAGACCGTCCCCGCCGACTCCTATTTTCGACGGGTTGGGGAATGGGGAGGAGGAGGATGAGGAGAAGGAGGAGGAGGAGGAAGAGGAGGAGGAGGAGGAGGAGGAGAAAGGAGGAGGAGGAGGAGGAGGAAGAGGCGAAGGAGGAGGAGGAGGAGGAGGAGGAGGAGGAGGAGGCAGAGGGCCCCCAGGTGGCTGAAAACGCAGCAGGAGAGCAGCGGCTTGCGCGCCCAGGTTTGGTCTCCCAGCGGCCCCCACACAGCCGCGCACCCAAGGCCACTCTTGCCCAGGGTCACTCTTGCGTATAGCCGACAGTCGGGTCCCGCCCGTGCGGCCCGCCTGCGCGAGAGAGCCCCCCGCCGGCTCTGATGCGGGGGCCCCCAAACGGTGCGGTGACCACACCGTGCGGGGAGCCAGTGGGGGTTTGGGGTCGCCGCACGGTTTCGGGACTCGGGTCCCTCTCCGAGGGCGTCTCGGACGCCGTCGCCGCACGGTTTCGGGACTCGGGTCCCTCTCCGAGGGCGTCTCGGACGCCGGGGGCCTCCGGGGTCCCAAGACCGTGCGGTGACGGACCGTGCGGTGAGGTTTTGGGGGGTTTCGAGGTCACCGCACGGTCCGTCACCGCACCGTTTCGGGACTCCAAATTGATGTCCTTCACGCCCGTTGTGTTCCCGCCAGGCCGGCCCGCCTGCTGGGGTCCCTGCCAATCGAATGCCTGGGAGCCAGCCTGCCCGCTTGCAGGTCTCGACCGCCAGCTTCGTCGTTGTCAGCTTCGTCGTCGTCAGCTTCGTCGTCATCGTCGTCGTCCGTCGTCATCGGCACGGTCGTCGCGGACGTCGTACGTCGTCGTCATCATCGGCGTCGTCGTGGCTGTCGTCATCGTCATCGTCATCTTCGTGCTCGTTGTCGTTGTCGTCATCGTTCGCCGTTGCCGTCGTCGTCGTCGTCATCGTCGTTGTTGTAGTTGTTGTCGTCGTCGTCGTCGTCGAGAACGTCGCCTTCAGCGTCGTTGTCGGATTCGTTGATGCCGTCGTCGCCATCATCGTTTGCTGGCGCGCAAGAGCGGGGTAGACCGTCCCCGCCAACTCCCTATTTTCGACGGGTTGGGGAATGGGGAGGAGGAGGATGAGGAGAAGGAGGAGGAGGAGGAAGAGGAGGAGGAGGAGGAGGAGGAGGAGGAGGAGGAGGAGGAGGAGGAGGAAAAGGAGGAGGAGGAGGAGGAGGAGGAGGAGGCGAAGGAGGAGGAGGAGGAGGAGGAGGAGGAGGAGGAGGCGGAGGCGGAGGCGGAGGCGGAGGCGGAGGAGCAGGGGGAGAAGGAGAAGGAGGAGGTGGAGGAGGTGGCGGAGGAGGAGGAGGAGGAGGAGGAGGAGGAGGAGTTGGAGGAGGAGGAGGAGGAGGGAAGAGGAGGAGGAGGCGTAGGAGGAGGAGGAAGAGGAGGAGGAGGAGGAAGAGGAGGCTGAGGAGGAGGCGGAGGAGGAGGAGGAGGAGGAGGAGGAGGAGGAGGAAGACGAAGACGGATAAGTGGAGGAAAGAGAAGAGGAACAATGATTTTACTAAGACTATTAAGGCGAATAATAACAGTACTAAGACGAATAAGAAGACGACTAATACTAATACTAAGAAGAAGAGGACGGATACAAATACTAGTCATAAGAAGAAGAATAATAATAAGAAGAAGGAGACGAAGACGACGAAGAGGAGGAACCGGAGGAGGCGGAGGAGGAGGATATAGGCGCGCCGCGGTCGAGTGCACGGAGGAGCCTTGAGGAAGAATTTGCAGAGCTGTCCCTGTAACCCTGTTGCCGCACGTGCCACCTCAAACTGGGCGCTTCGGTCTCTCCCTGCGGCACCCTCGCGGTGAAGTCTCACAGGGCGCGACTCGCAGTTCACAGCGGGTCGATGTCCCAAGTGGAGGGGGGGGTTGTGGTTTTGGCGGGGGGGGGGATGGTTTTGATCTTGCGACGCGCAGCGCTCGTCAAAGAGGCTCTCTATCGACGCCAGAGGCCGTGATCCGGACTCCGTTCATGACGATGGTGGCACTGATTCTTGCAATGGCAGTGGTGTTTACGTTGATTGGTGGTTCCGATACGAACGGCGATGAGGCCAGCTGTGCCGATGAGACCGTTGATTGCGTCGAGCCAAACGCTGCTACCGATGAGTCTGATGATGATGCTGGCGATGATGCACATGGTGATGCTGGTGATGCTGATGATGCGGATGCTGATCATGATTATGATGATGATCTGGTTTTTGTTGATGCTGATGATGCTGATGATGATGCTGATGATAAGGATAATGATGATGCTGCTGCTGATGATGATGACGATGATGATGATGATCATGATGCGGGTGCTGTTAACGATGACTGTTATGCTGTTGCCGATGACGCTGATGATGATGAGGAGGAAGAGGAGGAGAAGGATGATCAGGAGGAGGCTGATAACGTTGATTATGACGATGCTGATGATGCTGCTGATGATGGTGATGATGACTACGCCGATGATGATGATGATGATGATGATGATGATGATGATGATGATGATGATGATGATGATGATGATGAGGGCGATGATGACGATGATGATGACGATGCTGATGCTGATGCTGCTGATGATGATGACGATGTCGATGACGATGGCGCTGACGACGATGACGATGATGTTGATGTTGCTGATGATGATGAGGATGCTGCTGCTGCTGATGATGATGCTGATGCTGATTCTCATGCTGATGTTTTTGTTGATGATGCTGGTTCTGATGCTGTCGAGCATGACGGCGATGTCGATGCTGATGCCGATGACCATTATGATGCTGCTGCTGATGATGATACTGGTGATACTGAGAACGATATTTTTGCTGGCGATGCTGATTCTGATGCTGCTGACGACGCTCATGATGATGCTGATGATGAAGATGTGGATGAGGATGCGGATGATGACGAAGATACTGACGATGATGCTGCTGATCATAGTAGTACTCACGCTGATGATGCTGTCAATGTTGATGCTGTTGATTCTGATGATGCTGCTGATGATGCTGCTCATGATTAAGCTGTGCATGAGGATGCTGACGATGGTGCCGAATATGATTATGCTTATCTGATGATGCTGATGATTATATTGATGGTGATGCTGATGAAGGTGATGATGATGCTAATGATGCTGAGTAGGATTCCGATGATGACGCCGATGACGACGATGATGACGATGCAGATGTTGATGATGATGACGACGTCAATCATTATGATGGCGACGATGCCGATGATTATCATGCGGATGGTAATTCTGACGACGATGCTGATGCTGATGATTACACTGATGATGCTGATGATGACGATGATGATGATGATGCTGGTTATGCTGATGGTGATGGTGATGGTGCTGGTGATGCTGATGCAGATGATGCTGATGATGATGATACTGCTGTTGATGCTGCCGATGATGCTGATGATGCTGATGGTGATGGTGATGGTGGTAATGGTGGTAATGATGGTGATGATGATGGTGGTGATCATGATGATGCTGATGATGATGATGATGATGATGATGCTGACGATGACGATGACGATGGCGATGATGCTGGTGACGCTGATGATGATGTCGCAGATGCTGATGCTGCTGATGGTGAATGTGATGGTGATTGTGATGGTGATGGTGATCATGATGCTGATGATAATGACGATGATGATGCTGATGATGATGCTGCTGCTGATGCCGATGACGATGATGATGATGGTGATGCTGATCATGGTGATGGTGATGGTGATGGTGGTAATGGTGGTAATGGTGGTGGTGATGATGATGATGCTGATGCGGATGCTGATGCTGATGATGATGATGCTGCTGATGCTGATGCTGATGGTGATGCTGCAGATGATGATGGTGATGGTGATGCTGATGATGATGCTGCTGATGATGATTGCAGTGCTGATGATCATGATGTGGATTTGATGCTGCTGACCATGATGCTGATCACGCTGATGCTGAGGCGATGGCGAGGCTGCCGATGATGCTGCTGCCGACGATGATAGTATGGCGATGATGATATTGATGATGGCGATGGTGAGGCTGGTGGTGGTAATGCTAGTAGTGTCGTTGATGTTGATGACGATGCTGCTGTTGATGCCGATGAAGAGCCGGCGCCGGCCCGTCCTCGACCCGCTGTGCTAGCGCAGGCGCGGCTGCGCCCTGGCACCCCCCTGGAGTGGAAGCTCGTCATATGCCGCGCGGGCGCCGCGCGGGGGGGGGCAGGCACGTTGGTTGCATGGGGAATATTCGGAGGGATATAGGCTCAGGAGGGGATGCATCGACACCCAATTCCCCACTGGTCGCCGATAGGGGCCCCGTAGCCCACCTCGCCCAGGGGGGTGCGCGGAGTTGCTGGCGTGGGCGTGTCGCCGATCCATCGGCGATGCATCGCCGATTCCAGCCCGATGCTGTCCGCCCTGAGCCCGATTCCCCCGAGTCTGTGCCCTCAGGGATGGGCGAGGGAGGGAGGTGAGGGAGTCTGTTCCTCCTGCTCCCGTGCCTGCTCTTGGCGCAGCGCTCGCCAGCAAGCTGCGAGGGGGGGTGTGGTGGGCGGCTGCCCGCGCCCCCCTGGGGTGGGGCCAGCCCAGAAACCGCTCCGTGAAGCGGCCAGTCGTTCACGATCTTCCGGGCACAGTCGCGGGGCAGTTGCGTCTAGCAGAGCGGCGCAGTGTGCCCGCGGCAGGGTCGAGGAGGGGGGGAGAAAGGCTGGCGGCGGAGGGCGAGTCGGAGGCAACGCTCGGGGGGCATGGGCTCCAGGGGGGACGCATCGGCCCCCAATCCCCCGCCTCCTCCTCCTCCTCCTCCTCCCTCCTCCTCCTCCTCCTCCTCCTCCCTCCTCCTCCTCCTCCTCCTGCTCCTCCTCCTCCTCCTCCTCCTCCCTCCTCCTCCTCCTCCTCCTCACTCCTCCTCCCTCCTCCTCCTCCTCCTCCTCCTCTCCCTCCTCCTCCTCCTCCTCCTCCTCCTCCTCCTCCTCCTCCTCCTCTCCTCCTCCTCTGGGTCCGATAGCCCAACCCGGAATCGATCCTAACAGAAGGGGACTTGACACCGCTCGGGCGTGTGCGTTTGTCTCGGCGAGGACCATCGAGGAGCACCTTGGAGCACCTTGCGAATCAAACGAAAACGCACCCCCCGTTGGAGCACCTTGCGAATCAAACGAAAACGCACCCCCCGTCGCCGCCGCTCGGCGAGGAGAGGGGGGGAGGAGGGCTGCCCGGAGGAGGGGCAGGGGAAGGGGGGAGCGGACGGATGAGGATGAGGGCCAGCACCCAGACTGATGAATGATTTGTGGGACGCCGCGCTGACTCGGAGGGATATATGGAAGGGCGGAGTCTGGAAGTTTGAACGGGAGCAGGGATGGTGAACTGTCGATTCGCAGGGCGATGAAGAGAAGCAAGGGGACTCCGCAGCAGACGAATGCTACAACGCCGGGTCTTTGGCAGAAGATGTGGATGTACAGACTCAGACTATGCAGCCACACCACCAGGGCCTGAAGCCTCTCTCCTCTCCCATCCTCACGATGATGTGATCGTGATCACGACGACGAGAACAATCACGACGAGTACGACCGACGACGACGACGACGACGGCGGCGACGACGTTGACTGCGACGGCGACGATAATGTCAAGGACCACGAGGACGAGGACGACGAGTACGTCGAGGACGGTGACGAGGGCGAGGGACGGCGAATGACGAGCGGCGAAAGACGAACGACGACGACCTCGGCGACTCGTCGCCCCTCAGCGCCAGCTCCTGCGAGGCGAGGAGGAGTGGGAGCAGGGCTCCAACCGGCGCACCGTTCTTGCGCCTGGCCAGGCCCTCGCCCCCGCTGTCGCCGCCGCCGCCGCGGTCGTCTTCGTCGACCACGGCGTCGTTGGCGTCGTTGGCGTCGTCGTCGTTGTCGCGTCATCCTCCTTGATGTTATCGTCGCCGAAGTCGAGGTCGTCGTCGTTGTTGAACTTGGTGTCTTCGTTACCACCGCCGCCGTCGTCGTCGGCCTCTCCCTCGTGCTCTCCTTTGGATGGTGTTCGCCCCCCTCGTTATAAACTTGCTCCTTCTCCTCGTCCTCCTCATCCTTATTGAGGAATCGGGAAGCGGGATGGTGATGGTGTTTGTTGATGTATGACCTATGACGATGCGTGGTGGGGCTAACATTGCTAGGGGAAGAGATGCTGATGATTAGAGAATAAACGAACCTGTGAAGATGACAGAGTGGTTATGTTAGGGCATGGAGGATATGAAGGCGAGAAGAGATAATGGCTCGTAGGGATGTGATACTGAGGACTCATGTGGTCTCGATATATAATGTTGTGACGCCAGCGATGATGATGATGCTTATGATGACGATGATGATGCTGCTGATGATGATGATGATGATGTTGACGATGATGATGATGATGCTGATGATGATGATGATGATGGTGATGATCATGGTCATGCTGTTTGCGTTGTAGAGTATGGTGACAACGCGAAGCATGATTGTGCGAGCTTGCTGTTCAATTCGATGATGACGATGCTGACGACCAGATAGGTGTGGTACTGCTGGTTATCATTCTGACGATGATGTTGACAAAAATGGTGACGTCTGAAATGATTTTGCTGTTTGCAGTTGTGGTGAGCCTGATGATGACGACGATGACGTTGATGATCATGATGATGACGATGATGATGATGATGATGATGATGACGATGACGACGATGATGCTGATGATGATGGTGACGACGATGATGATGATGATGATGTTGATGATGATGATGCTGATGATGATGATGATGATGATGATGATGCTGATGATGATGATGATGATGATGCTGATGATGATGATGATGATGATGATGATGGCACAGGACTGATGACCATGTTGAGGCGACGGTGATGACGGTGCTTGTGATGCGTGTGGTGATGACGAGGTTGACGACGACTACGATGACGACGACTACGACGACGACGATTATGTTAATGTCGATAATGGTGGTGCACATGAAGATGATGATGATTATGGTGATGATGATGCTGATGATGATGATGGTGATGAGAATGATGATGCTCATAATGATGATGCTGATGATGATGGCCACACTGATGATGAGGATGCTGGTGATGCTGATGATGCTGGTGAGGATGCCCGAATTGAGGCGACTCGGGGGCGGACAGAACCCCCAACAGTGACACGTCGATTAGTGAATTGTCCGTTTTCGATTTTCGAGAGGGCGCCGTGGCCGTTATTTTCCAGGCTTGCGCCCGCCAGGTTTGGGTTTCAGGTCGTTTTCACTAAACCACGTTTTGCTAAAGGGGGGTCTGTCCATCCCCGAGCGACGGTGATGGTGGTGTTTGTGATGCATATGATGATGACGATGTTGACAACGACGGCTACGATGACGACTACGACGACGATTCTGTCAATGCTGATAGTGGTGATGAAAATGAAGATGTTGATGCTGAAGACGAAGCTGAATCTGATGATGCTGCTGATGATGATGCTGATGATAATGATGATGATGATGATGATGATGATGATGATGATGATGATGATGATGATGATGATGATGATGCTGCTGCTGCTGCTGCTGATAATGATGATGATGATGATGATGATGATGATGATGATGATGATGATGATGCTGATCATGATGGATGGTGATGGTTGTGGTGGTGGTGATGGTGATGATGATGGTGGTGGTGGTGCTGATGTTAGCGACGGCGACGATTATGATCCTGGTTATTGAATCGTTTCGCTCATTCCGCCGGCCCATAGTGTAGCGTCGCTGGCACTTGCTTGCGTGCTCGGGGGGGCATTTGGGTGGCCTCCTGGGGCCGCTTGGGGGCCTCTTGGGGGCCTCCTGAGGGCCTGTTGGGGGCCTCTTGGGGCCTCTTAGGGGCCTCTTGGGGCCTCCTGGGGACTTCTGAGGGCCGAGGGCTCGAAATATTGTTTCGTGTTCCCCCCCTGGGGTCCCTCTTGGGGCGTTCTTGGGGCCCTCTTGGGCCGTCTTGGAGGCCTCTTGGGCCGTCTTGGAGCCCTCTTGGGCCGTCTTGGGGCCCTCTTGGGGGCCTCTTGGGCCCTCTTGGGGCGGTCTTGGGGGCCTCTTGGGCCGTCTTGGGGTGTCGTGAAGCCGAAAAGGTGGAAACGCCAAAATCTCTCCAAAACCTAAGGAAAAGCAGTGAATTTTGCCTCTTGGGGCCCTCTCGGGAGTGCTCTTGGAGGCCTCTTGGGGCGTCTGGGGGCCATCGTGGGCGTCTTGGAGCGATCTTGTGGCATCTCGGACCCCTCATGTAGCATCTTGGGGGCCTCTTGGAAGCCTCTTGGCCCTTCTTGGGGCTCTCGGGGACGTCTCGGAGCCGCGTTGGTGCGCTGCTGGAGCGCCCTGGTGACTCCTCCCGGGACTCTCTCGGGACCTTGCCGGGGTACTTTCCGCCCGGGGGCCCCCAGGGGCCGCCACGCGCGCGCGAAGTAGAAAGATTGTAAAGCAGTCACCGGAGATCTTAGCACGCCTCTGGCCCGTTGGGCCGGCGAATTAGCATGGTGGTGATGATACTGATGGTGATTGGGGATGATGCTGATGATGCTGATGCTGATGCTGATTGCAATTACGATGATGACGATCATAATGATGATGCTGATGATGATGATGATGATGGTGATGGTGATGTTGATGATGATGCTGATGATGATGGTGATGGCGATGATGATGATGATGATGATGATGATGATGATGATGATGATGATGATGATGGTGATGAGGATAATGCTGCTGCTGCTCATGATGATTCTGTTGCTGATGCTGATGATGATGAGGATGATGATGATGCTGATGATTTGTGGTGATGACGACGATGATGACGGGGACACTGATGCGTCCGACGACGGTGAAGTTGAGGACGAGGACCGTGACGTTGACGAGCAGCATGATTCTTCTTATACATGTTTTTATTATCATGTTGATTGCTATTAGTAGTGCTATCATTACTGCCATGGTGCTGGTCGGCGGCGTGTTCCTTGAAAACAGTATACAAGACTGGTCCTCACGTTTTTGGTTTCTGGCGAGGAAGCACGACGCATGGCCAGCAGAAACGCGGGCTGTCCCCAGCTCGACCAGGCACGGAATGCCGCACTCCGCCGCATGGGTTCACTCGGCTTGGGCGTCGCCGTCACGCATTCGCGCCAGGCCACAAAGCAGGACGTGTCCCACCATGGCTGCGGTGATGGCCCCGAGACACCGCCCAAGGATGATTTCGAGGCTGGGCTTCGTCCACAACCACCGCCGGAGAAGCCGATCCTCCTGGACCTCGGCAGGCGGTTGGCCCCCCCTGTGGCCAAACTGTATCCGCCGCCCCCAAACCCGGGCGGTGGATGTGGATCGATCCACACCTTGCAATGGCGAGTGGCATAGTGCTCCACACAGTGGCGTCCACGAAGATGACGTTCGCGATCTCGTGCACCAATGAATGCTCCTGATGCGCGTGAGCGTTTGCGGATGTCCATCGGCCTGTTTATCCAACTCTGCTGAATGTGTGCGCATGTGCGGCTGCGCTGTTCAAGCCTTCGCTCGCTTGCATGAGCTTGTGTGTGCGAATGTGCGGCATGTGCGTGCATGTGCGGACCTGTCTTTACTATAAGAAGCGCTACAGAAAGGAGCAACATAGAAATGAGTCCGGTGTACAGTTCAGGAATCGGAAGCATTCGGGACTCCAGAGACGGGGGTCAATGCAAACGGGGGTTAGGCAGGGCATTGGATCTTGCAGGTTCCTGTAGGGCCAGGTGCGTACTCACCCGCTCCAAACCCAGCTTTGCTAACGCCCGAATGATTTCTGTGCGGTCCGGACAGATTTCTTGGATCTTCGCTGAGTTCCACTGGCGGCGCGGAGGGGGGGTCCAGCGCCGATCCAAGAAGTCCTCGCAGACCCCCGAGAGATCATGTATATACAGTGTGTTGTTCTTCCTGGTCTGTGATGGTGATGCTGATGATGATGGCGATGGTGGCGAGCATGGTGTAAGCAATGGTGGCGGTGGCGATGGCGGGCGGCGTCAATGTCGGTGATGGTCGTGGTGATGCCACGTGGTGTGCTGACGACCATGCTGGCGATGACCACGGCAACTATGGTGGCGCCAACGGCAGCGATGACGATGATCGTGATTGGTGACGGCGATTCGGAGGTTGAGAGAGAGGATGGTCGATGACGACACGGGACTGACAACGGAGAGGACGTGATGCTGCCTCCGCAGGAGTCCAGAGTGTGGTTTGTGTCCGTGCACTTCGGCGGCGCCTGCCGCGAGCCGGAGCTCAGAACCCCGCCGAGGAGGCCGCCGCCGCCGATGACGACGCCGCCGACGACGACGACGACGGTTGAGGTTGAGGACGAGGGCGTGGACGCGTTGAGGACAGGGACGACAACGACGGCGACGGCGGCTACAACGAGGACGAGTTTGACGACGGGAGCGGGAGGGGAGGGGGGAGGGAGACGGGACAGGGTGGAAAGGGAGCGGGGAGAGGTCGGAAGAGAAGCGGGGGGAGGTGCATGATGATGACGATGATGGTGATGCTGATGATGATTATGACGGTGACGACGACGACGTCGACGACGATGATGATGATGATGATGATGATGATGATGATGATGATGATGATGATGATGATGATGATGACGGTGACGACGACGTCGTCGACGATGATGATGATGATGGTGCTGATGCTGATGCTGATGATTCTAATGATGATGATGATGATGATGATGATCATGATGATGATGATGCTGATGATGATGATGATGATAACGATGATGTTGATGATGATGCTGCTGTTGATGATGCTGATTATGCTGCTGATGATGATTATGATGATTGTGGTGGTGGTGATGATGATGCTGATGGTGATGATGATGCTGCTGATGATGCTGATGATGATGACGATGATGGTGATGATGGTGATTGTGATGATGGTGATGGATGATGATGATGATGATGATGATGATGATGATGCTGATGATGGTGGTGATGATGATGGATGATGATGATGATGATGATGATGGTGGTGATGATGATGATGATGACGACGATGATGATGATGATGATGATGATGATGATGAATGATGATGATGATGATGATGATGATGATGATGATGATGATGATGATGCTGATGATGATGATGATGATGATGATGATGATGATGATGATGATGATGATGATGATGATGATGATGATGATGATGATGATGATGATGATGATGATGATGATGATGATGATGATGATGATGATGATGATGATGATGATGATTCTCACACGTGCAACCCTGACCGCAAGAGAGCAAACACCCCAGTCGAACCGACATTCCCGTTTTTTTGTAGGGGGCAGCCCGCGGACGCCTGCGTAAGGCCTCGCGCCCTGTCGCAGCAGGGCCTTGACAGAGGCACTCGCCCTTCGGTTTCGAAACGCTTGCGTGGCTCTTTCTCGACAGCAGAGAGGGTGCGCAGGGGGTGGCCCCTGACCGCGGCCCTTATGCGGCTCGTGGCGGAGGGCACCGGAGGCGTGGCATCTCTTCCGCGCTGGAGGGGTGCGCGGGTAGTGGTCCCTGGGCAGGCGTGGCACACCAGTGGAGCTTGCCGGCGGCGTGAGGTCGTTGGTCCAGTGGCAGCGGAGGTCGCTGGGGTCCGCGCGCACCCCGGAGAGCTCCAGGTGAGGGGCCCGTGCTGGTCTGGCGGAGCGGGGCGCTGGAGTTTTTCCGACAGGCAGCGCTGTCTACAGTCAAAAACCCTAATAAGGACGCGCGACTCTGCTCAGGGTACCCTTGCGTCCTTGCTCGTCCTTGCCCTTGCGTCCTTGAGGTTTTCGTCGTCCGCCGCCCCAACAATTCCAACTTCGGCTTCCAAGGGTATTGCGTCCTTACCGCGCGTCCTTATTAGGGTTTTTGACTGTAGCCGCGAGACGGTCGCGCTGCTCGCGCCTCTCCTGGGCGTTTCGCAGCGCCGCCAATCTCATTTCTCCATGCCAGCCGTGGCCCAGACATTTACCGTCGAATCATTGCCGGTCATTGTTGCGTGTAGCCGGGTCGACCTCCTCCTCCTCATCCTCATCCTCTTCCTCTTCCTCCTCCTCCTCCTCCTCCTCCTCGGGGGGGGCGACGAGGAACATTAGGAGAAGGGGTGGGTTGAAGATGAGACGGAACGGGACGGAGGAGGAGGAGGAGGACGAGCAGGAGGAGAAGGAGGAGGAGGAGGAGGAGGACGCATTCGAGAAAGAGTACGAGGAGGAAGAGGTGGAACATGATGATGATGAGGAGGAGGAGGAGGAGGAGGAGGAGGAGGAGGAGGAGGAGGAGGAGGAGGACGCATTCGAGGAAGAATGCGAGGAGAAAGAGGCGGAGGAGGAGGAGGAGGAGGAGGAGGATGAGAGCACCGAGAAGGAGGAGGTGGGAAGGGGGCGAAGGTGGAGGTGGACGTGGACGACGATGTGCGACTACGACCACAACGACAACGTCGACGCGCCCTGCGCGACAGCGGCGGCAACGGCTAGCGATGCCATCGCCAGTGCGGGCCTCGACCACGACAATGGCAACGACGACGGCAGCGACGACGACGGCCGACGACAACGACGAGGAGAAGGAAGAATTTTGAGTAGGAGGAGGAGGGGGAGTACGACGGCGACGACGACGACGATGACGGCGACGACGACGACGAGGTCGGTGACGGCGACGGCGACGGCGACGGCGACGGCAAGCGGCGAGCGGCGAGCGGCGAGCTGCGAGCGACGCCGACGTACGACGACACGCGACGAGGCCGGCGACGACGAAGGCACGCGACGAGGACGACGGCACGCGACGAGGACGGCGGCGGCGACGGCGACGCGCGACGGCGGCGCGGAGGTCGGTTAGCAACCCGTCGGAGCCGTCGGCGCCGTCGATCATCTCGGGGTTGAGGCGCCACAGGCGCTCCGTTGCGCCAGCCGTCGCCGCTTCCGCCGGTCCGTCTCGGTCCCTGCCAGGTTCCTGCCGTCGTCCCCGTCGCCGTCCTCGTCTTTGTCCTCCAACTTCCTCTCTTTCATTTTTCCTCCCTCCCTCCCCAGTTACCCCCCTTCCTCACTCTTCCTTCCACTCTCGTTTCCTCCCCCGCCCCCTCCCTCCTCTTCCTGGTTCGTCAGTCTTCGCCCCCCCCCCCCCCCCTTCCCTACCACCCCCTCCTCCCCCCTGGAGGATTTTTTTTCTATCTCTCTCTATTTCTCTTTTTTTTCGTTCTCTCTCTCTCTCTCTTTTTCTCTCCCCGAGGACGAGGACGAGGAGAAGGAGGAGAAGGAGGAGGAGGAGGACAAAGAGGAGTGGAGGAGGAGGTGGAGGAGGTGGACAAGGACAAGGACACGGACAAGGACAAGGACAAGGACACGGACAAGGACAAGGACAAGGACAAGGACAAGGAGGACGAGGAGGAAGTGCGGGAGCGGCGCCTCTACTGCGCGCAGCTGGCGGCCTGTCCCCTCCGGGGAGGCACGCCTCCGCCCAGGACCGCTTCGGGCCCTCACTCAGCTCACGCGCGCGCCCCCAGGCAGTGCGGCAGGGCCCCGCCGCCGTCTCGGCCCAGCCGGGGCTGCCTGCGGTCGGATTCGATGCGATGCGATTCGCGGGCTACGGGTCGACCTGCCAGCAGCGGCCGGAGCCGGCCAAGTCCGGGCGCGGCGATGCCCCGTCGGTCCGATCCGGGAAGCTTCGCCGGCGATCGGGTCCGACTTCTGAGGAGGGGAGCGCATACTCCAGATTTCGTAATAAAGGGAGGGGGGTCTCATTTCGGGGGGGTGTCTTTTCCAAGCTATCTTGGAGGGCCTGGGGGGGTCTGGGGACGATGTTTTGGAGGGTTCTCCCACGGGGGAGGTCTGAAATTGCTTGTCTTGGAGGGTTCAGACCCCCTCCCTTTTATTACGAAATCTGGAGTAGACACAGACACGCACACACACATAACCGACGATTTCCATGCAAGTGTTGCGGTATGGGAAGTGTGGGGGGGCGAAGGCGAGCATTCAGAACAGAGGGAACCTGCGGGGCGTCCTGGGTTTGTGTGTGTGTGTGTGTGTGTCCCTGCGCCCCTTTGGGCTTGGCTTAAGTCGGGCCTGTCCCTCGACAGGAGGAGTAGTCCCACATGGTAGAAAGTTAGTCTGGGGACAACTTTCTCATCACCTCTTGACTGTTCGGGGTATCTCTTGAGTGCTGTGATGCTTTCGCACAAAATCTGCCTGTAGAGGGACACGCCCGACCTAAGGCTTGGCGGTGCGATCCCGCAGCGCGGTTCGATGCGGCTTGTGCCTGCCAGCGCCAGGGGCCAGGCCTGCGGGCGGGGGCCGCTCCGGGCCCGGGGCCGGCGCCCCGCGGCGGCTCAGAGGGCAGGGCCTTCGCTCCACCGCCCGGGGTGATCGATCTTCGGGGACGTCGGCAGGCAGCGGATATGTAGACTCACGCACATGTGCAGATATGCACATGCACATTTAACATCTAAATCTATAACGATATATATATATATATATATATATATATATACACATACATGTATATATAAAGGTGCATATGACGAAACATATAATCCATAAACACATACATACACAACTACACCGAGGAGTACGCCAATACATCCATACATCAATACAACAGTAAGTCAGTGACTCCAGAAGTCCATACAGAGTTTAATCTGGCAGCAATCACACACATCAATACGTGTTACATTCAAACACGAACGACAACATACTTACAACTTACATCAATCCATGCATAAACGAAACCAGACTAGATAATTCAGCACATAAGCAAATCATGAACTAGTAATGGATAAATATATGAGTCGGCTCCGGCGGGTGCCCGGAGCGCTGCCCTCAGGACCGCATGGGGGTCTAAAAGAGCCCCGACCCGCCAAAGGGCCCTCAAGGGACCCTGAGGGCACCAAACGCCCCCAGCACGCCTACTACTGCTTCGAGACGGTCCACGTGGTCTCCAAGACGCCACGCCCCAAGGGAGCCTCGGACTGCTTTCTGAGAGGCCCAAGGGGCGACAATCATAAATTTCCCGTTTGTTTTTCAAAGATTTTCGTGTGGTCTTTTGTCTTGGTGCCCGACGCCAAGAGACGGCACAAGAGGCGTCCAGGAGGGCCCCAACATACCCCAACAAAGCGCCAAGACGGCACAAGAGGCACCCAAGATCGCCCAAGAGGGTTCAAGGCGATCCCTCAAATGAAATCAATATGTGTGATACAAGAAACGTTGTGCACCCTATGTGGTGCAATATACGATGTGCAATACACGTTGTGCCATTATCATGTTGTGCAGTTTACGGTGATGCAATTCATGTGGTGCAATCTATGTGGTGTCGTCTAAGGTGTGAGTGGTGCAATCTAGGTGGTGCAATTGACTACCCTGCACCGCGCTTGACCACTCCACTGCTCGCGCAAACATCCCACCCACCCACCCGCAACTTGGTTCGCAAAATCTCTCAAGACCGTGACGGTGGGTACCACATGGCACTTGCCAACGACAGCGACGCCGACGACGACAGCGACAACGACGACGACGCCGCCGACAACGACTACGACGATACCGACGACGTCTCCAACGACTTCGACGACGCCGACAACGACGACGACGACGACGACGACACCGACGACGACGACGCCGACGCCGACGACGACGACGATGACAACGACGACGATGACGACGACGACGAACGACGTCGCCGACGACGACGACGACGACGTCAACGACGCCGACGACGACGACGACGACGGCGGCGGCGACGACGACGACGCCGACAACGACGACGAAGACGACGACGACGACGCCGACGACGACGACGAAGACGACGACGACGTCGCCAACGAAGACGACGACGAGGGAGGAGGGAGGACGACGACGGCGACAACGGCGACAACGACGACACGACGAGGGAGGAGGGAGGACGGCGACGACGCGAACGACGAAGAAGGAGGAAGGACGGCGACGCCGACGACGGCAACGACGAGGGAGGAGGGAAGACGACGACGACGACAACGACGACGACGACGACGGCGACGAAATAGGAGGGACGACGATGAGACGCCGACGACGGACGACGACACGACGAGGGAGGAGGAGGAAGGACGACCACGGCGACGACGACGACGGAAACGACCACGACGCCAAAGAGGACGACGACGACGAACACGAGGAAAGACAGGACGACGTAGGCGACGACGACGACGACAACGATGCGGGAGGAGGGAGGACGGCGACGACGACGACGACGACGCAAGAGCGCGCGCGCGCGGTTTTGTTGAAAATCCGTGTTGCGAAACCTTGGCTTTTTGTATGTTTTTTGGACGCGCGATTTCGAAATCCTTCCGAAACCGATGGGTTTTGAAGGATTTCGGCGTACGCGCGCGACCACGCGCGCGTCTGCACTTCGTGTCATTTTCTTGCAGAGGATTCTCGCGACGGCACACGCGCAAGGGCGTTCGACAGATTTCGACATGCGCGCGCGATGCCCGTTTGGTCGCATTTTGTGAAAATCTTGAAAAACCTATGGTTTTCGTAAGATTTCGCAAGAGCTCGCGCGGAAGCTTTTTTAGCAAATCAGTGTTGCGAAACCATGTGTGTTTTTTTTTTTTTTTTTTTTTGAAATTCGATTGCGAAATCCTTCCGGCACCGAAGGTTTTTGAAGGATTTCGGCATGCGCGCGCGACGACGCGCGCGTGTGCACTTCGTTTCATTTTTTGCAAGGGATTCGTGAAAAAAGTGTTATGTTAGAACAACAAATGTCACCGCATAGTGTTTTTTACAAGGGAACCTCGGGGGGGGGAAACCGGCCTGCCTGGGATTGTATGATTTCATATTTAGGATGGACGAGTGTGCAGAATATGTATGAAATTATATTATCCCAGGGGGAAGCGTTAAATCCGAGGGGGGGGGGGGTAGAGTCTATATTCTTTTTTTAGAATGGAGAAATTACATCGCGCAGTCTTAGTGGTGCAGGATAGATCGCGCACCCGCGTCGGGGGGGGGGCAGCGGCTGCGCGTGGGGACGGGGAGTAGAAACACACAGACACAATTATAATCGTCGAGTCGAGTCGAGAAGCCATACGCCGGTTGGCGCGTGGGCAGGGAAAGTGCGCATGCCAACGAAGAAGAAAAGAGGGGGCGCATCACGACCGTGACGCTGAAAAGCAAGGCGCGGCACGACCGTGACGCTGAAAAGCAAGACGCTGAAAAGCAAGAGGGGGCGCATCACGACCGTGACGCTGAAAAGCAAGGTGTAGGAAACTAGGGGAAGTGGGGGGAAGAAGACAAGAGCCCCGACAAACACGTGGGAAACAAGTCTCCGGGGAATGCTGCTATTTTTTTTTTTGGCGCGCCCACCTATTCTTGTGCGTCCCCGCGGGGCCCCTTCGCTGCCCCGCCGGCCGCAGAGCAGAGGCGCGCGCGCCTCGGACTCGGCTATGGCCTGGACCCCGGGCACGGGGACCCGGTCAGTGGTAGGGCCCCGGAGCCTCTGCATTGGCCAGAGTCACTGAGCCGGAGGTGGATAGACCTCCTACCCCGACTCGTCGATGAAGGAATGGGCCGTTCTCGGTTCGCGAGAGGGCGCCGCGGCCGTCATTGTTGCGGGCCCAGGTCCGTCGGTTTCGGTCCCAGGCCGTTTTCACAAAGGGGAGGTTTACGAACGGGAGGTTTGTCCACCGCCGAGAATCACCAAACCAGGTTCGCCACAGCTGGTGTTTTTTCGGGTGACGGCACTTCCGGTTCGTGGAAGCGTGACGGGGGGGCGCCCCTGGAACAGATCACCACGCCAGGTTCCACGAAACCCAGTTCTACCAACGCCCGATCGGACGCCCGCAGGCCCAGGGACCCACCCCGGCAGCAGAAAAACCACGTCAGGCAGCCCGAAGCTCGATCCTCGAGCCGCCGAGCCCCGCAGGATCCCCT